TCAACCGATTTCAATGAAATTCGGTATATAATATTTTCTTAACACCGTGATGACATGTACCAAATATGGGTGAAATCGGTTTACAACCACGCCTGAAATGTCGATTATCACTTTATCATGCGAGAGTATAAAATGTTCGGTGACTCCCGAACTTAGCCCTTCCTTACTCGTTTTTTAAATGTATTAATTATGATTTTTATTGCTATTTTGTCGCTACACCAAACACTAATGCAAAACCTTACCTAAAAAAGCTCCGCTAATATTCGTATTTAATTAAACTAATTATAACCTAAGTGTACCTTTTTATATAATCGAATGTTTTCTTATCTGTACGTACTCATAACTAACTGTAAAAAGCGACCAAATAAGCCAAAAGCCGCTGTAGTGTACTACTAACTGTAAAATCTAAATGTGTCACCTAATTATCTTGATTATATAGATCTATGTATATGTTTGCATTTGTCTGTGTGTATTTGCATTGTATGCCACCATACATAACTAGATATTTATCCATAGCAACCAGAAATCAAATTTAATTGAACTCGATTTTTCTCTTCTCTTCAAACGCATGCTCTCCGCCACGCGCAGCCTTTACTACTACCAACACCAGATCATCCAAATATGAATGGCTACAGTCGCAAGTCACCGTCGAAGCGTCGCTATGAGGGCTCGAAGTATCCGGGTAAGTGCACTACAATATAACTGTATTGGAGCGGAAGTTTTCTCGTTTCCTTCAGACTAGCTAGCTAGCTAACTAACTGGCTGTCGGCCGCCTGCTGCTTGACAAGCTAGCTGGGTGGTTAGCTTTCTGGCAGTATGAGGTGCATAAAGCCGTTTTTGTTATACATAGTCTTGTTGTTGGCAGCGATGCTTTCAAGTGCTTCCGCTTTTGGGGTAATTAATTTGTTTTTGTATGCGTTGCATTTCTATTTTTAAGTATTTATTATACATTTAAATACGATTTTTTGCATTCTTTTTGCCCGTTTTTGTTGTTAGTGTTGCCGAAGAAGAAGCCACGTACGGGCAAGGAGCGCATACCGCAACCGAAGAACACCGTCGCCATGTTGAATGAGCTGCGCCATGGCTTGGTCTATAAGCTGGAGTCGCAAACCGGTCCGGTGCATGCACCGTTATTCACTATATCCGTTGAGGTGAGTGTGGCGAATATACATACATACATATATTTAAATTTTTTATTCAATCCGTTTTATGTTGTTCTCTCCGTAAGCACTTAGTTTTTTGCGCGCTCTCGCCTGTGTCGTTGGCGCTTCAAATGTTTCAATTTTAATGAAATCTGCATCATCGCATTTGAAGTGGCGCGTAGCTCGAACGGTTGAGGAGCTGAAGGGTGCTTTTAGCTGTAGCGCGCTGCCAAAAAAATTTTTCCGCATGCCACGAATTTTTTTTAGCACTTTTTGTTGCGCGTGTCTTCGCGTTTGGCTGGAGCGTTTGTGGGTGTCGGCGCTAAACACTGCATTTCGATCAATACTTGCGCATCGCATTTTACCGTTTTTTGCCGTTGTTCGGTTTACACGCTTTCATTGCTTAGCGTGTTTTTGATATAAATTGATTGCAACACCTCCGCGTGCACTAAATCTTCCATGTTGAAGTATGTTAGTGTCTCTCGCGTATTACTTTTTTATAGATTTCGCTTGCTCTTTCCATTTTTCATGTATTTTTTTATATACTAAACATCGCAGCTTTCCTCGCAGCTCTCGTGAATTGGTTTCCTCTTCAAGCTAGCTGAATGCAGCTATTTTTCTTTCAATGGTTTTGTATATCCTTTTGAGAGATTTTCACATATATTGGAAAATGAAAGATATTTAGCCTCACTGGCGTTAAAAATGAATTTTCTGTGCGTCGTCTTCAAGGAATATAAAAATGGAAATTTTTTGTTCAAATTAAATATTTATTCATACAACCACTGATTCCGATCGTTCAGTTTGTATAGCAACTATGTGCCACAGTGGTCCAATATCGGCGGTTTCGACAAATAGCAGCCTCGTGTGCGAAATTTTAGACAGACGGAGAAAGATAAATCGACTCAGCTCGTCATACTAATCACTTATGTACAGTAGCTACAGTCGCATTGGTTTCAATACTTGGTCCATAGACATTTAATCTTTATGACACTTTGAATACATTTCGGCATGTTTTCAACAAAATTTTGAATATGATTTGCGAGGATTTGTTAACACTCATATTGTACACGATGCTATAGCTCGTTTATGTTTCCAGTAGTTCTTTAATACTTTCTTAGCCATATTTTTATTATCGCCCACGAGTTCTGCTTTGAGTTGAGATCAGGGGCCGGCCACTTCATTAGCTGAAAATGCTCCAGAGATAGCTATTTCTTAACTACTTTGGCGGTGTATTTTGGTTCCCCGTTCCCCGCTCAATTCGACGAAGTCTGGTAAATTGGTCAGAAAAATGTTTAAATAGTTTTATTTCTTCTTTATAACAAATTTTTTTTGTTCAAATAGACTGCTTTCTTTATTATAACAAGTTTGTTTAAAGAGGACCAATATGCCACCATATAAAACAACCCCATCCCATCAAATTGCCTCCTCCGTGTTTTACGCTTTCCATTACATAATGCCTTTTTTTTTTTGGAGTTTTGGAGAAATTAGTCACCTGAAAACATCTTTCTTAAAGCTAGCAATGCTATTTGTGGAGAAATGCGATCTCTAAAGAAAATACAGTTCACCAGTTGAGGAGTTCACCAGTCGAGGTTTTGCCAGTTCTACACCCCAAGTGCGAGTAGATCCCTATGTATTCGATCTTTCTATTGTATACCTAATCGTACTTTCTTCCATTGTTCACCCATGGGTCTCGAATGGAGTGAGCCTTTCGCTGGAGCATAGTCTTCACAAAACCAATCCCGCTTCGCTTCTTTTTCTGCTTTGGAAGGCTTTGTGCTGACGGATCTCTTGTTAAGATAATTTATTCGTTGTTATATTCTTGGATAAATTATTCTTTACCGGAAAATAATATATATGAGTCAAATAAGTATTGAAATTGAAGACTGAAAGCCTAATATGCATGAAAAATTAAATTTCGTCAATTGAAAAAGCTCTAATTAGAAATACTTACTCCAATATGACTGCCGAAAGGCAAAAAATAGTTTGAAAAAATAATTTAGATATAAATTAGAGATCGATGAACCTCTCAAGATTTCAAAAAGTGTGCTGTCGTTGTTTGGTGATCTGATGCAGATCTTAGATAGACAGATCTTGGTGAGAGTATGGGATTTAATAGTTATACTCGATTTGCCAAACCCTTGATAGTTGTGAATCGAACAAACAACTGATATAAAAGCTATAATTTAATAATAATGAAATAGTGAACAGTTTTACCACTTTATTATTAGCTATCTTCGATTCGCCAAACTTTGCAGTGTCTAGTAATTTTCCCAATAAACTGACACCATTTTTGTATGCCATTTAAACCATTCAGTCTAGTAAGACTGGTCTGTAACATTGATGATAGGGGTTACACATACGTTGCCTTTTTTATTCCGGTATTGAAAAGCAAAAACAAATTTTAATCACAGAAAATCGCTTAACTGTTTTTCAAAATAGTCTAAATTGAGATATATAGTGCATATACACTTTAGCATGCGTTTGAACCAATTGTTGAAACATTTGTGCCACTTTGATTGTAAACTGCCACAGGGGTTCTAAAGGCATCAACCGCCTCTTCAGGTGTCGCAAAATGTTCACCTCTTAGTTTATTTTTCAAATTTGGCAATAAAAAGAGGACTATACGGTGGAGAACTCATTAAATCGATATTTTAAGTGCTCAAAAATGTCAGAGCGACTCCAAACTGAACTGACCTTTCAATTGCCTTTAGATTTAAACCACAGCCACCACGAATCTTCCCAAAGTGCCAAACCCACTGAGCAGATTGCCACGAACTCCAAGAGCTAACTGTTATCGATAGACCACCCATCAAACTCAATGACTGGTGACATTTGTCGCTTGAATATCAAATGCCTTTTCATTAGAAGGAATATCTTTCAAAGTCTATAATCAGTTCAAGCTGAGTATTATAGCACTATTTGCTGATATTTGAGGCAAGCCAAGTAACAGACATACTGCATATTTTACTTTATTCGCCTCTTACGGCAGTCATACCTGACAGCGGGCACAATTCTCCGTCTGCCCATACAGTCGACGACTAGCTATTTTCGGGCTCATACGTACAAATTCACTACTCATCATCTGACACAATCCCATATGTAGACGTGTTTCGAAGCACCGCTATTGTATTTTGATGCAATGTTGCTGAGCTAATACACGTCAAAAGTTGTAAAAAATATATTTGTGATTTAATTCCAACATTTTTTTGGTTGAGGTGAGTATTTTAAGTTACTGTAAAAAACACAAACAGCAGTCGTGTGTCAAAATGTCAAACTTTACGATAGCGTTGTGGTTGGCAGATTGCAACACTAAGGTTGCCAAATCCCATAAATTTCGGGAAGGCATATATCGAATTCAACTCGTTAACTTTGTTTTTTAATTTTACATGTCATTATTCTACGAAATAGCGAACAGAAAATGATTGATTTCACCAAGAATACAAATCAAAACCCACAGATGCTTGACTCCTGATTCTTTACACACTTAACCTAAATTAATGACAGTTTGATATCCATCATTACTGATGGATAAGCTGACAGCTTGGACTCGTTGCGGCTGTTAATTAACTTAGATGAAGTCGCTGTGTTGTTGTTTATTGCCTACGAAAGTCGGTAAGATGATATTAAAATTTGCTGACATTTAAGGCACAATTTATCACAAACACAAAGACACAGACATTGGCAAGAGTCAAAGCAGCTTTTAAGCCCTTCATTTGTGGTCAGTTAAATGAAGAGCTAGCTGATGAATGTATAAACTTGGGTTTCATATTTCTGAGCAAACAAGCCTCTTAAAAACCACAGCAAAAGCACTTGTTCATCAAGCAGTGTGTGCTAGAACTCTGAGAGCAGCGTCGCACACTATGACCAATGCCACGCTAGCCGCCAAGCGAGTTTATACAAGTATGTATGTGTCTCTCTGTGTATGATAATAAAATGCAATCGTTTCAAAGAATCATTTCCGTTCATTGAACACAACAAACATTATTCAAGCAGATAATCCTCAGAGCTTGTGATCGCATTTCAAAAGTTATTATGCCGTCGTTATGCCGTTACCACGTGTATGCTCTAAACGTACATATGTTTGTATACAGTTAGTTATTGTCCTTGCTGTTGTCCGCAAAATACTAATTAACCTTAATGCTCGTGTGGTCAAATGCATGTCTGTCTTCATATGTGTCAATGTGTTTGTTGGTTTTTGTTGTGTGTTGCTGCTTTTAATAGCTCGACATGCCATTCGCTGCCATATTCGTATTATCTTCGATTCCTGTCGGTGCTATAAATAACCCACACAAATATTGAATAATAAATTGGCACAACGGGCAAACACAGTCGGACGGACGTTGAGCAATGCTGATTTACATAGATATTTACATATTAAACATCTCGCTTACAAATAGGCGGTTCGTCGACACATCGACACCGAATGGTGTACATTTGTATATAGATCGAAGGACACAACTGTCTCTTCATTTTTTTTTACGCGTAGATAATATTCTTGCGTTAAAATATTTGATTACAGCAATTGGTGTTTCAACACCCAGCTAACCTCACTTTTTATTAAGGATTTATGAAGGAATTAGAACAATCGACTACTTGAATTATGGTCACAGTCTGCTTGACAGTTTATTATTTCATGGGTATATACGGATAGCTTAGGTTAGGTTACGTTAGTCTGGTAGGCCAATGATACCAGATGGAGTTCAGTTACTAGCTCCATGAGGAGTAGTGACCTTTTAGGATGCCTGCGCTTGACACGAATTTCTACTGATTATGTGACCTCACTATGGATATATCTTAAAGTGTATCGTACAGTGGGGACCCCGGAGGCCACCGGGATGCGGGACAAGTGTACCAGAGATGCTCTCGATCTGTCAGCCAGATTCTGCGGGCGTGAGTCACGACCAGACAGTGAACAGTTTCCGTTCATGTCTAGTGCCAATATGAATTTTGTGTACTTCTCATCTACCGTATTACACATGACTCTTTTAGCTTTGCACCCAGATAGTTTG